TTTAATGATGCAATTTTGTCACAGACATTCCAAGTGAACAAAAAACACATAAAGCTTAATTTTATGTTGGCCCGTTGATTTTTAATTGATTTTAGAAGTCAAATATACAAAATTTTCACGAAAAGAGGGGATTTCAGGGCTGTATTCAAAATGATCTCATTTGATTTTGGTGACAGATATTTTGATTCGGAAAAAAAATCTACCTTCGGACAAGTATCTTCTGTAAAAAAAAAGGAATGTTGTTTGAGACATTTTCATATGCACCTTTTTTAGAGCGAAAACCCGACTAAAGGTCCATTTTTCCTTTAAATTTGGGTTAGGTAAGCAATATCTAAAAAGTCCCAGAGAGTCCCAGTTCCAAACCACTACAGAAATGTTACATAATTTGTTTTCAACGAACTATGAAAAAATCAGCTGCCCATACCTGCCCTCCTGGGAGTTATAGCGATTTTAGTATATCACTCTCAGTATTTATTCCATAGAAATAGAACGGAAATTCTCGGAATCACTTATTGAATAATTTAATCATATTGGTTTTCGGGTGACTTTCCGTCATCCCACGTCAAATTTTTATTATTTTCAGATCGGTTTCGGCTAATCGCCATCTTCAGTGTTTTCTTTTTTGTCACTAATTAGTCCGCATGTGTGTCCATCTTTATATAGTGTTTTCTTTTAGCTTGTGGTGGTACCTTTCTCTCTCTCTGTTGTTTTACTATTTTATTCTCTCTCTTTCGCTCTCTCTCTCTCCCCCTTTGTTTTTACGTCTAGGTAGGTGGGTGAAATAATCCGTTATTGCGCGCTTATTTGTATTGTTTTTATTTTGTGGTTTTTTTTTTTTATTCTACATCTATTCTAGCACTCCACAAAAATGAGCATAACTCTCTTAAAACTGAAGCTATTGACTTCAAACCGGTATCAAATTAAAGCTTTTATTGCCACCTTTCAAATAAGAGATGAAATAGATTTTGGTTTTATATAAAATTTCAGAGTTTTTCAACAAATATCGAAAAATCATGAAAATTTGACGTTTATAATTCTTGTTCGGACCACCCTATAGTTTATTTAAAAAACTAATCATAGAGTATTTATCAGAAATAAAAGAAGAATTAAAATAAATTTTTTTTGTAAATTTTTCGAACAATTATTATTTTTTTTTGAATTTTGTTGAAAATTTTACCCAACAATTTTTTTCGGTGTAAATTTTTTTTTCACTCATTCTGTTTGGGATTTCATTCTGACCAATCTGTAGAAGTTTCTCATCGATACAATTAAAATTACAGTTTAGGCAATATGATTTCCAAAAAATTCCGGTTTCGCAACACTGTGTGTCGTAGGACGGTTGTGTTTTGCGGTAAGTATCATAGTTCAGCAGCTATAGCATGGGCGTAGCCAGAACGAAATTTAGAGGGGGCCCTTACAAAAAAAAATCAAAACCAATAACCTACTTACTAAAACATTGTTTATTATAGCTTAAAATTATTATAACCAACAGAGTTAAATATGTTGTACAAAAAACCAACAAACAGATGTTCACAAAAGTTGATATAAAACTATTCGTCGATTTAAATTGTTAACTTTTTACTGAGCATGTTTATTTTACGAGGAGGAAGCATCGAAAGCCTAACCCCGTCAGTGTGAGACTTTAACCCAAACTAAACTTCCTACCGTCATGTACCGTTCCCCTCCCGGTACCACCATCAAGGATTACGTGGGATTATAACACTGTGTGACTGATAAGGTTATAGATCTATTCTCTTCTTCTTCTTCTTATTTGGCGCTGTAACCGCCAAAGCGATTTTGGCCAACTGACGCAAATTGGAAATGCCAAGTGAAGCCAGAATATTTTCAGAGGTGGGGCGTCGGTGTCCATTCGAACGACATGGTCAAGCCAGTTGAGCCGCTGTATTTTAATTCGCCATATACCAGCACGGGCATGATGAGTGACTTATAGTGTGCTTTTCGTACGTCGAGAGAGGACTTTACTCCTGTATCGCCTACTCAGTCCAAAGCAGTACTTGTTGGCAAGAGCGATTCTGCGTTGGATTTCCATGCTGACATTATTATCGGTGTTAATGCTGGTTCCCAAGTAAACGAAATTCTATACTTTCCCGAAATTATAACTGTCAAAAGTGACGTGGGCCAAGACGCGAATGTGCTGATTGTTTGTTTGATGACAGGAGATACTTCGTCTTGTCCTCGTTTACCACCAGACCCATTCGCTTTGCTTCCTTGTCCAACTTGGAAAAGCCAGAATAGACTTCGCGGTTTTTCCTACCGATGATGTCAGTGTGATCGGCATAAGCCAGCAATTGTACGCTCTTGTAGTAAATTGTTCCTGAGCGGTTCAGTTCTGCAGATCTTATCATCTTCTCCAACATCAGATTAAAGAAGTCACATGAAAGAGAGACGCTCTGTCTGAAACCCCGTCTGGGGGCGAACGGCAACAGATCAGAGCTGGTGGTATTGCTCAACGTCATTTTTCACTGCCGTATGAGTTTTGAGGGGATACCAAATTCAGACATAGCGGCATATACGAAACTCCTTTTAGTGCTATCGAAAGCGGCTTTAAGGTCGACAAATAGGTGGTGAGGCCGATCATTTTCTCGCGGGTCTTTTCCAAGATTTGGCATATTGTGAATACCTGGTCTATGGTAGACAATACATTCGCTAAGACCTTGCAACCTACGCTTAAAAGGCTGATCCCGCGGCAGGGTCGCCTTTCTTGTGGATTGGGCAGAGCGCACTTAAATTCTAGTCGTCGGGCATGCACCTTAATAACTCCTTGCCATCGTAATTAAATAGCTCAGCTGACAGGCCGTCAGCTCAAGCAGCTATGGCACTTTTCGTCATAGTCAGGCGCTGGGATATCGACTGGGACCTCGGGTTCGTCTTCTCCACTTCTTTCAGTGCATCTGCCATTCAAAAGGGTCGAAAAGTGTTCCCTCCATAATCTGAGTACGTTCTGGACATCGGTCACTAGGTCGGCATGGTTGTTCCTACAAGAGTCGTAAAACCTTTTATAAGTCGCTCTCTGCTAAAAATTTCGGGTGTTTTTTCTGTCGGCCAGAATTTCAAGCATTTTCTCACACTTCTCATTGTACCAGTAATGAGCGGGAAATGTGGTTCCACTGATCGCGCAAGTCGGTTTGTTGAAGAGTGTTCTCTCACAGCAGGTGTGGGGGTCGAGCGCCCAATCCATTGGCCGTCCGTTTTGATTGCAGCTTTTCGACGTTGAAATTTCCTTGGTTGGTTGGGTGCCCTTTTTTTGCTGCTCCGAGGTTGGGTCGTATATTGAATGTATCAATATAGTAGTACGAGTCGATGTTTGGCCCTCGGAGTGTACGTATGTACATATAAAACATGGAAGCATGCCTTCCGTCTATCACAACATGCTCGATTTGGTTTCCAGTTTTTCGATGTGGAGACATCCATGTAGCTTGAGAGAACGAAAAATGACACTGAAGATGGCACAACGCCGAAACCGGTTTGTCTCCAAACCAAATTTGACAAGGGATGACGGTAAATCGTTCCACAATACACCACACTCCTACCCTGTCGGAAACACCAACAACGAAAATGAGAATAGCATGATGGATCTTTTTAAGCTAGAACCCAGTACTACATACTGCCAAGTTTCGGGCTCCGGCGAAGTGGATCATCCTCAGCCCGCCGTTTCTATGTGGAGGCTGATTGTTTCGACACTGGCACCAAAGATCCCTTCGTTGCCCACCTTGGCATTTAAATCGCCATTTTTATACGTATCTGGGCAGCGCTAATATGTACGCTCTAAGATAAGAGAGCCTTGGATGCCTCTTCCTTCTCTTCCATCGAGGCATTGGCACATATGAATGAGATGTTGAAGAATCTCGCTTTGATGCAGATTGTGGCTAGACTTTCGTCCACTAGAGTGAACGCCGGTCTCTCTCCCACTACAAATCCAACACCGAATTGCACTCCTTTACGTGGCAACTGTAGTAGACGTCGCAAGGCTCACGCTTACCTTCCTCGCCCCGTCCATCGCATTTCGTGGATGGAGCTGATGTCAGCCTTTATTTTCCCTAGGACTTCAACCAGCCGGGCAGAGGCACCATCCCGATTAATCCCCAGCGCACGCGGGGTGTTACGCCCTCCCACTTTACCTCGCTCCCAAACTAGCGTTCGGTCGCTACCCAGAGTATTCATGGATATAAATATCCGGACGTAGTTAGCTGCGATTTGAACCGTAAGCACACGAATCACTTCTGGCCACTCCCAGGTGAATGGCCGTCAAAAGCTTTGCAGTACTGGGAAATGTACAAAACATAGTGGCCAAAAACGAATATCTCAACTAAACCCTGATGAATTTTTTTAAATTCGCTCTACATACCTGTATAATAAACCAAATAGCCGGACAAAACGTTAAATGATATACATATGTATGTATGTATAAATATGAGGACGTGTTGAACATTTTGAGTGTGAAGATTTTTTATACTGGTATATTCATTTATGCTAAATATATTACTTGATTTTGTTTTGTCACACTTAAGAAGTAAACGTCTTGGCTGTTCACCCAACCGCTTAGTAAAGACACAAACCTAAAGACAAAGTAATAAACAATTGAACTATAAATTTATATATAGTTTCCGTTCAATCAATTTTTGCTCATTGTCGACTGCAGCCAATTTTTTAACCTTGTAAAATGGAAGTGCTTTGAAGTTAGAGATAATAACTTGATACAGAACCGGATGATCCACATATCCACTTTTTAAATAAGTTTACTAATTATTTTGTTAGCGTTGGGAGTATAATTTGTTATACAGTATATATATAGGAAAAACCTTGAAATTTAGGGGGGGCCGAAATTATCAAGCAAGCATTTCGCGGTACTATTTTTGAATATCTAGGCAAAAATTTGAAAGTTAGGGGGAACCCGGGCCCCCCTGCTCCTACCTGGCTACGCCCATGGTTGCCACCATTTTCAATAAAAATTTCATCTGCAACTTCTTCCCCAAGTCCTCTCAACGTCCCAAACTTTGTAATCTTTTGGTTAAATGAATACCCAATATTGTTAACTATTTATTACAATTTATGTATTTGCTACATAAACAGGCATACTAATTTGATCTTTATCCATCAAATTGGGTGTATTTCCCCGATATCAACCATAATACGCTATAAATAATCCTCGGTTCAACCGCAATCATTCGCATCATTTCATGCGCAAGGACCTCGCTCCTGAGCTCCAATTCTCGGGCGAATTGAATGATGGAATCCGGTCGATCAGTTGCCGACACCGGTATACATTAAGATGTCTCAACAAAATTTCTGTGAATTTCCGTGCTACTCATAAAATAGAAAACTTAGTATTTCCACCACTTACCGAAACAAACCGTGATAAGCCCCGTATTCCATGGCCAACATAGCTTCCTCATCCAAATTGTATTTTTTTAGCAGCGCGTCAATGTGGTTCAAGTGACTACGCATCGCTGGCAAATAGTCCTCCAGCACTTGCAGATTCTCAACGTGCGCCTCACCCTGTCCAATGAGTTGTGATCGTGTTCGCACCCAATTGTAAATTATTTTTATTGTGCACTGTACTAAGAACCCATGATATGGCTTCAGGGTACGCTCATATGCATTCTGCAGCTGCAGCTTCAATGCCTGTGGGTCATTGAAGGTGTTTTCGGGAAATGTACAAATCAATTGTAGGCGACGCTTTAGCCGTAATAGCGCATTCGCGCCATTCATATCATTTACCACAGGTGTAAGTAGTTTGCCAAATGTCCCAATAATAGTAACGATTTCCGTAGCAGCTTTAAGAAAGGCCTCTGTCTTAATTTTCTCCTCAACTGCTGGTGGGAAGCCTTCAAAAGTTTTTAAATCGTATGCGTTGTGCGGACATAATTCTTTGCCTAACACTCTTGAATGTATATGTTTAGTATATAATATCAAGACTATCTAAATTCACGCAAATATACCAATATATATATATACAATATATGTATACAATATAAGCATCTTTTTGTTTTTATGCGCTCGTTGTTATTTGGTTATGAGAAGCCTCAACCAACTTTTCAAAACTGCATGCAAAGCTCGATTTTTAGTGATTCGACTTTATCTTATCAACAATTTAGTGATGAAGCATAAAAAAGGCTGAGAGATTTTGGAGCAGTTTGCCCTCTACAAGTTTTTCAAACGTGGTGATTACAGCTGAACTATGTAATGTAAAATAGATTGTGAGTGGCCTTTGCAGTAGACGATCATTTCCGCATTTGCATGAACCTGTATAGAGATGAAAATATTAATGAAATCCTTAATAATTACTATTTTACAACACACCTCTTACAACGGCCTCGTGCTAAAATTTCAGAATGACATTTTTTGCCATTCAGGAAATGGAGAAAGTGTGGTGCGCAAACGCATATCAAAATGCAAATTAAAAGTCTCCGCCTAAAGCCGCAACCACATACTCCTCAACGCCATCTATTGCTCGCGTATGGAGAGAAGGTTTTTCGCATGGAAACATGCATATTACAATGGGAACGTTGTAATACCTATGAGAAAAAAAAAAATTTCAACTTGCTTTTCAATGATTTTGATTGCAACTCACAGTAAATACCTATTCCACATTCTGCGTTTTATTCGGAGTGAACTGGTTTCCGTTTCCGGGGGCAGACCACGCTACCGAAAACATCGCTAACGTCAATTTACGATATTAGCAGAGTTCATAGTCAATGCGATTTCGAAGCAACTCATCGCAGTAAATTCCCATATGGAAACCTTCCACAGATAAATTCAGCGCGACATTTTCTCATGTACACACACATATACGATATTCTCATACGTACTCCATACATACGATTAAAATTTCCTGGGAGAGCAGGGTTAGAACTAATCTGTACGCCGTAGTAAAGGGTGCAGAAGTCGTATAAAATTATAATACTGTTTACAATATCGTTGCTTAGATCATATAAATGAATGAATATCCAATTATTAAAACAAAAAAATTGGCTTAGTTCTTCGTTTCATGCTTGAGCCTTTTTTGTAGTAAACCCACCTGTAAGATTGTCGAAGACATATCGAAGAAATGGCAATTAAAGAAAAATGCCTAGTAAGACTTAATTTGCTCGACAAAACGTACTAAATCTGATACGAACGAAGTGTAGTTCTAACCCTGCCGGGGAGATACAGAGGCAACAGTGCCATCTACCGGTTACTTGAATAAGCTGCAACGCCAATAATTCCATAATCAAACGAACTCTCCAAATTTACATAAATAATGCCACAACCACACGCAGCCAATATTATACAAATATATTAAAAATAAGAATTCCTCAAATAGTAAAACAGCTAGGGAACCACCACTTGCCACCCAACTATGACTGTTCAAAAGTTGAACGTTTTTCACTCAAAGCGGCTCACATTGCAGAATGACCCGATTCGCGATCGCTTGCCGATTATGCAACAAGAATCATGGGGTGCGACTCTGCCCAATTTACCGCAGCAAATCGGCTGAAGAAAGGCGACGAGAAGGGCTTATACACCGCTACTGCCCGAATTGTCTGTCACCATTCCACCGCTTGGAGATCTGCAGCAGCACCGACCGATTCCACAGACGGTGCGAGAAGCACCATACTTCTCTGCATATAGATACCGGTGACGGTCGTAGAAAGGTAGCGCGGAGCCAGACGGATGAAGACGACAGCTCGCAGGGCGCATTGGCCATTCATGTCACCGAGCAGACAAAATCATGGGCTCAACAGGTGGAGGAAGAAGAAAGAGAGCAAAATGAAATAATAGCCGAGATGGTCGTCGAAAACGAAATGGTTCCCTCTGAAGAGACTGGTAGCTCGGAAACTCGTACTTTCCGAAAACCACCACAGCACGACTGGCGAAGGCGCGGCTCGGAAACCAGTTCTCTCCGACTGCCCAGGCAGATCGGCTCCGGACCTAGTCCGTTAGGACCACCTGCCCCGCCCCAAATACTACCCGCAGGCGGCTCGAAAACCTTCCAACCGCCCCGACGGTTTAATGGTCAGCGACGTGGCGGTGCGGAAACCCGTTCTTTCCACTCGTCTCGGTGCGGACAAGGTAGATCAGTCCCATATCATCGGAACCAACGACTACGAGGAGGGGATAGATCAGCGCTCGTCCTTCCGGACGCACGAACGACAGGTTTTAGAACAGGCCGACTAGCCGGCACAACAGGGGCACCAATAACGCGTTCGTTTGACCCGATCGCACCGACAGCAATCGTGCGGATAGAGTCGGCCGCCTCCACCTCGTTCGCGCTCTAATAGACTCTTGCGCACCTAACACCATTATAGACGCAGATTTGGCCCGTGATCTGCAATTATAACGAAGCCGATCAGGGCGACAAAAAAGATGTTCGCTCGTACTACGAGGGAAGTATGGCCCTACGGAGCGAATAACCACCCAAGCAACAACAATAACGCGACACAACCGACTCAGTCCGCCGGCGAGTATTGCTCCCACGGTAGCCGCACCATTCCAATTCTTGCGGTTGGCTGTTCCCTCTTTTTATCGGGCCTCACCAATCCGGTTAACTTTGGGTGACGATGTTTACGCCCAAATAATGATGAGTGGCACCCCTCCCTCTACGATTAGTGGGCTATTGGCCCAGCCCACGGTCTTCGGCTTAGTTTTATCCGGGGCTCTTCCAAAATAATAATTATACCCCAAATGGCATACCTACGCCTCTGTTTATAAATTCATGGTTTCAATGAAATAAAGTGCATTGTAAGACAAAACCACGTATTTTTAATTAACCCCTCTCTATTTTATTGGCAGTTTAGGGAAGGCGGTGAAACAATGGACGTGGCGAACGAGGACCGTAATGCAACCCAGCGCACTGTTAGATTAAGTTATAAAAAAAAAAAAATTAAAATTAAAATAAATAAAACTTGTATTTTTCCCATGTGGCATGATAGTTGGGCATCTCAATCGATTACTCAGGTTGCTCACCGCAAGGGGGCCGGAATGTTTAGGCCTCCGGCCTAATTATTGCGCACCACCCTAATGGGCGGTAATATAGACCGTATGCACATACACGTATATATGTATACACATATACATATGCACGTGTATCGGTACCCAACAAGCAAAATAAACTTAAAGAAAGTTTTTTTAAGTTTTCAGTTATAAACATTAAGCTTACAAAACGTTGATTTTTTGTTTATAAAACGCTTGAAAGTAAGCGTAATATAATCGAAAAGGAACATTGGTTATAAGCGTAGAAATATAAACTTGTAATAAATGTTCAAAAGAAAGCTTTATAAGCGTAAAAGTGTAAACTTATAACAAAGGTACAAAAAAAGTTGTTTATAAGCGTATGAATATAAACTTACTAAAAATTTTCAAAGGAAAGCTTTTTATACAAATTTGTATAACCCTTTATTTAAAGATATTTATGAGTTTTTAATACATAGATTGCTTAACATCTAGAAACTAAAAGAAATGCGAATTTTTGGCGGACTNCTCGCAAAACTTAATAAAGGCGGACTCATCTACAGTCGCGAAAATATAATTAGGTAATAGACATTTTAGCATACATATTCACGATAACACACAAAAATTAAGCATAAAAAAGTTAATTATTACATCTTGTTGCGTGCTTTCAATTACATGCGGAAAAACGACATCGATGCAGCTATATATTCCGCTTCATCGCCACCATTCTCCTTGATGAACTTTTCTGAAAAAAATTTAATAAATTTTTAATAGAATGTTAAACTAAAACAAGTGAGAGCAGCGCTGTCTTCGGCTATGCCGAAGGCTTCATACCTTTCATGAACATCTGCAAATTTTACTTTGACAGATTACTGCTTTTGAATACATCTGCATACATCGATAGAGGAGTTACATACTTATATAAAAAATCGCATCTAAACAATCAGAGGTATGGAAGATATACTTTATATGGCACCAATCTAAGTGATTTTCACTGCTATGTGATCGGTATGTAAACCGGTAACACAATTTATTGGGTTTAGTTTCGTACATAAAGGAGATATATGGCAAAAACTGGTATCTTAACAATCAGTGCTATAGGAGATAAAGCTTATACAGCATAGATTTTGACGATTTTCTCAGTAGACTTTGTATTATTATTTATAAAATATCTTACGAAATTTATCGGTTTTAGCTGTTCAAATAAAGGAGTTTTACAGTAAAATCCCATATCTGAACAATCAGATGTATGGAAGATATATGTTGTAGTCATCCGATCCTTGTTATTTTCACTGTAAGTATTCTGTTAATAATGAGTGAAAATGGTGCGAAATTTCATGTTCCTAGCTGCATAAATGGAGGAGTTATGATAAAAGACCTCATATCTGAACAATCAGTTGTATGGGGGCTGCAGGTTATAGTGACCCGATCTTTGTTATTTTCACTGTAAGTCTTCTGTTGATAATGAGTGAAAACAGCGCGAAATTTCATGGTCCTAGCTACATAAATGGATGAATTATAACGAAAAATCTCATATCTGAACAATCAGTTGTATGGGAGCTATATGTTATAGTGGTCCGATTCTTCCGGTTCCGACAAATGATTAATACATTATAAAAATACACCCACCTACCAAATTTGATCCGGATATCTCGAAAACTGAGAGACTAGATTGCATACAAACAGACGGACAGACGGACAGACGGACATGGCTAAATCAACTCAGCTCGACGTTCTGATCATATAAGTATACATTTTCATGGGTCTATCTCTTTTTGTTCTGGTACTTACAAACATCGGACCAAAGTTATAATACCATTTCATGCTCATGAAAGGTATAAAAGGATAAGGAGAACTCATCATTTGAAGACTCAATGCTCCACCGATTAGCGCAGCGGGTCCTGGATTGGATTTTTTTTTACCGCATCGGTTTTATTTAATTTTTCTTTTAATAATATATTTTAAAAAACTTAAACACGTCACTTACGATTGAAAAAAGAAATATCTACTACTTCATGTCGTTGGCATTTGCATTTCATTTATAAGTTTAAGTTATTTATAAACATTCGCTCGCAAAACTTAATAAAGGTTTATTTGAAGAAACTTTTAATAAGCTTAATATTAAAAATGCTTATTTAACGCTTATTATAGCAAACTTACTTTAAGTTATTTTTAAAAATATTTCCTGAAATGCTTGTTGGGTACCAATTAAAGTCATATTCACTAATACGCATACTCGTCCAATTTACCCACCATCCATTTACTGATTTGAGGAGAAACTGAACGAAAAGTCATTGTTCGGCGGGTCAAACGGAACTAATTTCATTTTGCCATGGTCACTTCCCTGAGGAATTCCAAAGGATCACCAGCTATCACGCCACATCAAGGTAAAATCAACCAGACAATATTGCGTTGTATTTTTACAACCTGTTTCCAATAAATTTGTAAGATCAATTATATACTCAACACTAAAACTGAGTTGCTTTTCTTCATTTTTTTATCCTTTACGTCTGTGCGCTCCACTCCGTGAGACGTGCTGGCGTAATTAATAGGCTTATATCAAAATAATTTTAAGCAATTCCTTTGAAACACTACCAGCCCGATTCTAAACAGAAACCCCCTGGAAGTTTTCTCTCTTTTCTCTTTCTTCCTATCATGAATAAAAATTCCTAAATGGGGGAGTTTAGCTGTCAAAAAAGTGTCAAACAGCACTTTCGAAGTTCGAATTTCCTCCTCCCAAATTTTCAGTGAAAATTTTACCCCCTGGGAGTTAATTATTGGAGGATTTCTTCCTCGGGAGAAACAAATTCCCGGGGAACAAACTCCCCAGTAGTATTCAGAATTGGGCTTTACTTGAAATTAAAATTAATAATAGAATAATACAGCTGGGATCGCAGTTCATAAGAAATGAAAAATAAGAATACAAGTTGATATAGGTATATATGAGGGTGCGCCGATGCGCAGCTTTGCTTCCTCCAAGTTTAGCTGACTGAATAAAATCAAGGTTTGCATTATACCAAGGTAGTGAAAATAAATGAAGTGCAAATTCGCGTTGTAAGAAGGTGAGGAGTCACGACAACGCCCAAGGCTTCGCGTGGGGTTCACGTA